ATCACAGCCGGTTCCTTGCCTTCATTCAAGGTGGAGCTCTTGGCGCCTGCCACTAGAAGTGCCTTTTCTGTTGGAGGTGGAGTGGACTTTCTCCTTTTGGCCTCGGCGCCGCAAATGCGCTTACGCCCTGGCCTTTGTATTAGGTACATCACGAGGTGATCTGCTATGTCCAGCCTCATTCCAAACGGCAAAATAAATTTTCCACATCATATAGGTATATCAAAAATGAAGGCCTTGCGGACCTACGCGTATGTGAACTTTTTACCTTATAAACAACTGAGGGATGGTCCTGTAAAATATCGGACACTGATTACATGACACCCTGTATCTACTGGAAGAGTAGTCCCTCAATATAAGAGCGTATCATGCAGTTGATGGCGTATATTTGCAGTCGTCACTTTGCTCATGTGAAACTCTAAAGCATATAATGTCATATTCGAGTGATGGGGTGATGTATCAGAGTTGTCATAAGCTCCCATAAATTGCTTAAGAAAAAATGTCGGAAAGGAATTTGAAACAATGTTTTGAAGCGATAAGTTTCTTCTTGAAGAAAAAAGCGTTTTGCTTGGGAGCATGCGGCATTCACTGCGCAGTATTGCAGCAACAAAGATACATGTTTCTCAAAAACCACCCTAGTTATGCCCTTTCTAGCTTGTCATCTTTTAAAAGGGGTTTTGAAGAATTCAAATGAAAAAAAAAAGATTATTGCCTGATATTTTTGAGTTCATGAAATGGGCTGGTGACTATTACACCGTAATGGAAAAGTTAGTTGTTATATGGTTTGACGAAATCAAATCAAAACATATTATTGAGTATGATATCACTGAAGATAGAATTGTTGGTCCATATGATTTAGTAAGTAAGCACTTATGATTCAAGGACTTTTTTCAAAATGAAAACAGCCCATATTCATAGATTTTGACAACAAAATTTCAAAAAGTATAAGTACTATTGCTAATTATCGTAGAAATATCTGAAATCAATGTCACTATGATTGCCTTTATAAGTAACTACAATGTTAGATTATGGAAAGAACTCACTATTGATATGAAAACAACTTTTTCAAAAGCCTCGATTCGGAATCAAATGTTATACATGTACATATTGACAATGCCCCTCCTTATATGTTGAAATTAACAATAAATTGATTAATGAAGAAAAGAGAATTGAAACTTTCCATGTTTATCACTACTTTTATTTGTTACTAACGTTACTGCAGTTTCGTCCTATAAGGACATTTCCAAACTTATACATTCAACTAGAAATGATTGATTACATTAGCCCTTATATAACTCCACTCATGTTCTACGTCACTAGATGCTTCTTCTTTGTGATTGGTTTGAGCTGATTAGACTCTCCTGATTAGAAAGTTTAGCTTCTTGGGACTGTGGCAGTGACAACACCTAAAAATGAACAAGGAGAAAGAAGAAGAAGATCAAACACAATCGACCAGTGGAAGAAAGGACTTGTGATTCGCCATTTGTTTTTTGTATACAATTACGAGTTAACTAGTAAACGAGTTTGTTTATGAGGTTGTTTATTTATGTTCAGAGTTTGGTTTGCCATGGAAGTAAAAGTTCATCCAGGAGGTCATTTTGACCTCAACAAGATTTGCAGAGCTTGTTTGACTGAAAAGGGGGAAATGCGATCAGTATTCATCCAGGATGAATCTACAGGACAGTCTGTGATTCTGGCAGAAATGTTGATGGGATTTTCTTCAGTTCAGGTATATATTAACGTGATTTAATACCTGTTCCTACTAATGGATTACAGAGGGATCATTCTTAATTTATATTTTTAAGGCATTCATTCATGTTCTCCTATTTCTTGAATGGAAAATTGATATTAGAAGTAGTAGCCTACAAGTGCATTTTATTTCAAGAACATTCAAAATTGATATTGAATAGCTAAGTGATAGAGATGAAATAATTTGAAAATATTTGAGAAAATATTTTGTGGGATATTATGAATTTGTGGGATCTTAGAAATTATTTCTCCATTAAATTTTGTAGTAACGATATCCTTTACATGAACTATGAAAGTTATTATTTGGTTCAAAGGCTGGTTCTAGTTTTTGATGAATATTTCATTGCGCATATGTAAAATCAAAACTCTGCGTTTCGATCTACTTTCGAAAATACAGCCACTTGAAATTTGAAAAACTGACACTTTTGGAACCCACTTCTGGCAATAAAAACTGGTAAAACATTACCTTCTTTTCACGATTGCTCCGGCATATCTTTATTCCCATACCACATTATTTTCATACAACGTGTTTAATTTCCTCAAAATCTATCTAAATCACATAATAATTGAATTTTAAACTGAATAACATTTTTACAACTTTATTTCTGTTGGCAGTATTGACAAAAATTTCTTTTGAAATGTGCCTTCGCAATTCATCTAATGATGCACTGTTTGGCACGTTTGGTGTAGTAATGAATATTACTGGAGTTTTTTCCCAACACCAAATCATTATTTTTAACATCTCGACACGTGTTTCGATCNAAAAAATTCAACCCAGCACGTTTGTGCTGTCCACAGTGATGTGAACAGTCAGGAATATACCTGTACGTGCTTGTTTCTTTTCTAAATATATCGTATTCTAACCCTACACATTGGCTCCTCATTACAAAAACGTCAAGAAATGGTAGTAGTCCCTTATTTTCTAACTCATACGTGAATTTTATTGATGGACATCTATTATTTAAAAAGGGAAACGAAGTCCTCAATATTCGATTTTTTGGTATCGAATATCGCGAAAATATTGTTACGATATTTACTTGGGGTTCATTTTTAAAACAACAACACTAATAATACTTAGACAACTTTTAATTACTTATTACACAACTACTGCACTGATTATAATTCACTTAGAATACTCGCTTGCTTGAGACTTCGAACACTCTCTTACTAATCTCTTGCCGAAGGAACTCGCTCTTTTATAGTAAGATCGATGCATCTAGAATTTCTAGAAATTCCATATCCATCGCGATGTTTCGCTCTCAGGATCGACGTTCGAATTTTTTTCGAGACTTTTCCAGTTACTGCCTAGAGAGGCAACGCGTGTGTGACGTCATCCTCAGGTAGAGGTCCCTTCATGGAATTGGGTGACTGTAGTCAGCTGCGGCGCTAGGGATTTTGTAACAATATCATCCACATACCTTAGCCGAATCCTAGAAAAATACTTCGACTTTTCTTTGGTTTCCATTTCGAATCTGCTCATGAGCAGGTCTGCCAGGTAGAGGGACAAGGGGTTTCCCAAGGCTGTTCCTTCCTGTTGTTCATAAAAGCAACCTTCTACCTGGAACCGATTTGGTTTCATACACAAATTAGTAAGAGAAACGAACTCTTGGATTTGGTTATTATTGAAATTATTTTTCTCTAGTAATTCTATGAGGTATTGCAAGGTCTGTGTTCCAAAAAAAGGATCTTGTGACCCAGACTATGGGTGCGAGTATGTTGATTTGTGTTTGTATGTGTATATGTATCTTACTGTTGGTTTTTAAAATCATTTTATTCGAAACTCTTCATTTTCAGATTGAAAATGGCGATGGCCTTCCCAGTATGATATGTTTACAATGTGTTCACCAGATAAGTAGATGCTACTCTTTCAAGAGGTTGTGTGAACAGTCCGACCTCAGTCTTCGCCAGTATCTTGGAAAGATACTCACCTNAGTTCTGACATTGATAATAATTTTAATTTAGTTATCTCACAATTAATAGGTGAGAGATTATTGTTAGTCCAAAGGGAAGAATGGGAATTGGTGTTCTTAATGTCTACTATACCAGGGGTCTCCAAACTACGGCCCGCGGGCCAAATCCGGCCCGCCAGTGTCATCAATCCGGCCCGCGACAGTCAATGATTACCTAATTGTTGTTACTATTGCTGTGGTAAGTTGAAGAAGAAAACACAGAATGATAATTACTCGGTTTATTTACTTGCAAGGTAAAACTTAGCGACAGAAATGATGACAAAGAAAACTTAACTTAAGTATCTGAGTTTAAGCATATTAATAACTAACAAATAATTGAAATGAATTTTTCTTCTTCAACTTATCACAGCAATAGTAACAACAATTAGATAATCATTGGCTGTCGCGGGCCAGATTTATGACAGTAAATCATTGACTGTCGCGGACCGAATTGATGACACTGGCGGACCGGATTGATGACACTGGTGGGCCGGATTTGGCCCGCGGGCCGTAGTTTGGAGACCCCTGGTATATACCATAAATTGTTCGCCGAAGCACATCTTTTGTAGCACCATCAACGTTTGCGAATTTTTTATTTCTTTGATTTCGTTTCATTGCATGGTCAATGACATACCCTATTTTAATGACTCGAAGAACTGTCAAACGAAATAGTTTCGTTAACTCGCATATTCTAATCATAATAGCATTCTGTGAAGTGTGACAGTTTTCCTTCTTCAAGCATTCATGAATATTTAAAATTACTCGCTGAACTTGAACATGTAAATCCTTATTTTCAAATTCCGGATCCCTGTCGATTGACACAGATTCCTCACACGTAATGTTATCATTTGTTTCAAAAGGTCTCCAGAAAGCCATTATGATGAAAGTACCCAAAAACTCTTGTATTTTCACAAAAATCGGTTTAAATGATGAGATTGGAACCTTTGGTGTAAAAGTTGAAAAACTTTTTCTTGAGATCAATTACTCTAACACCAAACTGATATTTTTGCAGTCGACGCGCGTTTCGCTAATAAGGTTAGCATCTTCAGGAGAAGCAAATTGATTCTGAATCTACAGACAAGGGTTAGCTGTTTAAATACCTGAAGTTCTTTGGTCCGATGTGGACTTTGTTTGTTAATGATGATTATCCCAATTGATTTTTCGGTAATTAAATAGTGGAGTCACTACCTGTAAATTAATTTGTCCCCTTTTTAATCTATTGTTGACAAATTAATTTGCAGGTAGTGGTTCCGCTAGTTAATTACCGAGAAGTCAATTAGGATAATCATCATTTAACAAANGAAAATGAAACGCAATGCCAATCAGTGTAACGTGTGCAAAAAACAGTTCATCAACTTGAAGTCTTTCAAGAAGCACTTGAGAATGCACATCGAAGACCGTCCCTTCAAATGCAAACTGTGTCCTCGAGGATTCACCGAAGAAAATTATTTGAATAATCATATGCGCACCCACGTCCCGGAAGAAGAAAAACCTCACGAGTGTGAAATTTGTAAAAGAAGATTCATCCACATCACGTTGCTGAACAAACATATGTTGAAGCACAGTGGCGAAAAACCATTCGTTTGTAAAATATGCAACAAGGGATGTTACGCCGAAAATAGCCTGTTGAAGCATATGAAAATTCACGAGAAAAAAGAAGGTGATCCTGGACTACTGAAACACATCTGTGATTATTGTAAAACGGAGTTTCCCGATTCTCAGAGTTTATCGATCCATATCAAACAGCATACTGGCGATAGACCTTTTGTGTGTAATATTTGCGGGAAATCCTTCCCACAGAGGTTCAATCTCGAGTTACATTTGAGGACGCATACAGGTAAATATCAAGTCAGTTCGTTTAAAAAACTTGAAGCCCAACATATTTTCATGTAATCGATATTCAGTTTCATAACCTTCGATGGAACTTCGAAAATGCTTTCAAATCGTGGAAGTAGAGACCANAAAAATTGAACGGAAGTAACACATCTTTTGGAAGCTCCTGACAAATGCTTCACAACCCTAGAATATAATATTAATATCTTCAACTGCTACAAAATAACGCAACTTTTAATAATTGCCTGAAAACATTGACATTTAACTACATAATATGTGGTAATAAGCTTGAGGTCAGTTCAGAAAATGCTCGAAATGGTTGCCTTGAACTTCTTGAACATCAACAGCGTATCCGATATATCACGCCGAACATTTTCGAACACAGTAACGCAAATATCTCTACCAATATTTATTATTCTCTGCCGTATATCCAACATTGAAGCAGGTTGTTTCGTACACCTTTTGCTTCAAATAGCCTCATAAAAAAGTCTAAAGGTGTCAAATCTGGCTAGCGAGCTGGTCATTCTGTAGAACCTCGACGGCCAATCCAACGACCGGGAAAAGTGGTATCCAAATAGTTTTTTACTTGTCTGGAGTTATGTGGTGGTGCTCCATCTTGTGGGAATACAGTATCCATATCGAATTCACTAGGATTCGCTTCAACGATTTCAGTGACGAGAGGGTCAACAGTAGTTTTCAGCACTCTGGTTTCTCTTTAGTGCGAATAAATCTTTCGCCTTTTACTAAAGATTTCCGTGGAAAGGAACAACATAAAGGAAACAACGTAAATTAACTAATATTCAAATACAGTTCCCCTGTTCAATTTTGATCAGTAAATAGGGGTGCCCAATATTTCTGCCGAAACGTTAATTTTTTTCTGGATATTGGGTATGTGTTTCCTGGAAAACGTGAGGGTTGGTGTCACTCCATTAATGGCAATTTTGCCTGTGAACATTGCCGTTTAAAAAAAAAGTACATTCGTCACTAAAACAAATATTGTGGAGATAAGTAGGATGCCTTGCAATGGTTTCCATCATGATCTAGCAGAATTCTGTGACGAATTTACATTTTTTTAAAACGGCAATGCCAAGACAAAATTACCGTTATTGGAGTGATACCAACCCCCACGTTTTCCAGAAAAAAATTTACGTTTGAGCAGGATTATTAGGAAACCATATTGTAAGAACTCTATTCATTGATCAAAATTTACCAGGGAACTGTACTTTTTTCGGTCGTTGGATTGGCCGTCGAGGTCCTACAGAATGGTCAGCCCGCTCGCCAGATTTGACATCTTTGGACTTTTTTATGGGGCTATTTGAAGCAAATGGTGTACGAAACTGAACCTGTCAAGAAGTTCAAGGCAACCATTTCGAGCATCTTCTGAACTGATCTCAAGCTTATTACCTCATATTATGTAGTTAAATGTCAATGTATTTAGGCAATTATTGAAAGTTCCGCCATTTTGTAGTAGTTGAAGATATTTACATTATATTCTAGGATTGTGAAACATTTGTCAGGATCTTCTAGGATTGTGAAACATTTGTCAGGATCTTCAAAATGATATGTCACAAGAGCCCCCCCTTTCCATTTAATTTTTTTCCCAGATGGCGCCCAGTCTCCATCTTGAAAGTTTCATCTGTCAATGTAACTTCAAAATAAAGTATTCATGCATTCATTTCATTATCCCAAATTTTGAGTTGACCCTGTTCAAAAAATAAAAGGGGGGAGGCATTAAAGGAATGCACTGTATAGATATTAGATTCCATTTTATAGCAAAGGAAACCAATTTTAAAGAAACAAAAATACAGCTTTATAATAATTTAATTATTTTCAAAGGACA